GTACTATAATTCAGCCAATACGTTACATACATGAAAGGATAATATTGCCGAAATGTTTACAAAACCACAATATTTTGTACTCAAAATGTAGCCAAGATCAGGAGATATTAGAATATATATAATAGTTAATACTATATGTGTTCAATTTGAAAGACTCCAGTGTAAGATTATTTTCAATAAAATTCCAATTTTCGTGATTATATATAAAAATCATAGAAAATGTCATACTCGATATGTCCCTATTTATCAATGAAATTAAAAAAGAAAACTGGTCTTGGAGATTTTAATAGTTCAGTATCGTCTACAAATCCTGAAAGTTTCATGCAATTCAAAAATATTTGTGGATTTTTTAGTTGAGATCTCATCGAAATACTCTATGGACAAATTTTCATTCGTTCTCCAAATCCGAGCTTCAAATATTGGCTAACTCAATTACTCATCCTCGAATGGAAGCTTCGTATTATGTTAAATGAATTTATTATGTTCACCAAAAGTTAGCCAGATTTGAGTAGTTGATGACGATCTAAATTAAACATTTCTGACTTTGAGATTTTGAGTTCACTTTTTTGAACTAGCTTTAACTAACTCTCATTGAATTCCAATAGTCGGTAGTATGAGATTCATGCTTTCATAAAAAGAATATCAGAAAAGATTCAGTTCTGTTGCCAAGGTCTTGCTGATTACTAGCATCATGCAATTGCCATAACATTTAAATATTAAGAAATCTCAGATACGATATCTAATATAAAAATCGATTGTTTTGGTTCATCTTATCTTTCTTTCTGTAGTAGCATTCTTTTTCGAATTTAGACGCTTTTCAGCTGTGTTAAATAGCTAATTATTTCAAATAAGAATAGATCGAACCGAACAATTGTAAAGATATCATATCATTATTGAATAAAAACAGCGAAATCACAGCTAGATGTTGCACAAAGTTACTTTCTGTGAGTTCGTAGTCGAAGCTTTTTGCAAAAGAAGCGCCATTTGCTTGTGATGTTAGCACATGAAACGCGATCGACGAAACTAAAAGTCTTCGTATTAGAAACTCCAAGAAATATGAGTTTCCAAATGTATGTCTTCCTAGAACTGTCAGAATAGACTCCTTCTCGAAAGAGCTGATTGGTTAAGTCACGAATAAAACGTATAGACTTTTCCATGTCAAATCAATAATTGCAAGCATCGGGTACTCGATCCGACCCATCCCATAGAAAAAACTACGACTGGCTTCAACAATACTACTCATTCATAGCATCAGATACGTTAACAAGCACGTAAATCCACTCATATCAAAACGCTAAGCGAAACGAATAATCACCGAACTCGAGATGCATAGCGAACCGCACCAACATACACAACTTCGTCTACATTCCCATTCAAACACATATTTTACATTAACAACTAGAGGCTGCCAACGACGATGATTACACGAGCTAATCCAAGAACACAATTTGATTCCGGCAATTCAATCATGAAAGAAATACTCAAGGATCTAACAACTTGAAGAAATCTCAGTATTCCAGTCAAGTCACTTATGTGAAGGTCCTACAAGGGTTCAAAACAGAGAACTTCGAAGATTAGAACTCATTAATGACGGGCATCCATGATCAGACAAGCAAGAAAGAAACGCAGTCCAAGCACTCCACACTATTAAATTATGTAAGGCTTCTCGCAAAACTGACAAAACCAAGAATTTCAAGAGTTCTCAAACATGTATGAATATCACCTGCAAAGACCAGTGGAAGAAGCCCAAGAACTACAGGCCTTCTAAGACATATTGGATCCTCTCGCATGATCATATAGCAGAGAAATGGAATAATTCCTAGTCATCCAACATATTTTCGGAAACCAAGAGTAGAAAGTGAGTGAAAAAATCTAATAATTTCAAACCAATCCGACCTTTGGGAATCTCGAGCATAATGAGGAAAGTAAGTACTAAAAAGACTCCAAGCCATCCAATACATTTAGATCACTAACCACCCATAGAAATCTATGAAATTCACCAACTCAAAGGCATAGAATCCATCCGAGACAATGCAAGATCATCGGAGCAATAAAAAATGCAAGAAATTCAAGATTCCCTATTCATAAGGGAACACCAAGCATTATATGCAAGCTATGAAATCCAAGAACACGAAGCGTTCCGCTGGATATTTCACTCAGCACGGTGCCGAAAAAGTTGAGGCACCGAAAAATTCAAGCCCTTCCATGGAATTTTCGTAAGTCAAAAATACCATCTAAGCGATGAGATCAAGGAATGGCAAAGATTCCACTGACTATCCAGCACTCAAAGATGGAACCGATCTGAATTTTTGACGAACAATACTGATAGCGATTCCATCTCTGTCAGCACTTACGACAGTCAAGAATGGTTGAAGACATACAAAATCAAAGAATTCCAAGCAATTCTAGGATTACATTGCACTGTGAACACTTGATAATGGTTGGGAAGCTAAGGAATCCACGGATTACAAGGATTTCCTGCAACTTACGCCAGTGAAGCATCCCTGGAAACTCAAGAAATCCAAGGATTCCATGGCTCTTGGGACAGCTAAGAATGGTCGGAAAGCTAAGAAATCCAAGGATTCTACTGCACTTGCGACACTCGCAGATGGTTATGAAACTAAAGAACCCAAGGATCCCAATGATTTCCTGCCACTTGGGCAAGTCGATCATAGTCCGAAAGCGAAGGAATCCAACGACTATGAGGATTCCATAGCATCTGCAACGGTTAAGAATGGTGAGCAGGAGAAGAAATCAAAGGTTTTCAACAATTCTAAAGATTCAATGGTCCTGAGGACACTCAAGAATGGTGATGAAGCGAAGAAATTCAATGATTCAGCGCTACATAAGACAGTCAAGTATGGTCTGAAAGCTAAAACATCCAAGGATTGCACCACACTCTGGATAGTCAAGACAGGTCGGGATGCAAAGAAATCCAAGAATACCAAGAATTCCGTGCAGCTTGTGGTAGTCCACGATGAACTGAAAGCTAAGGAATCGAAGCCATTCAATGGTTCCATAGCACTTCTGATACTTCAAAATCCAAATGAAGCTAATGGATACAACGTTTCTAAGGATTCCTTAGCACTTTGAATACTCAGAATTGTTGGGAAACCTAAGAAATTCAACAATTTCATACTACTTGAGACACTCAAGGGTGATCGAGAGGTTAGGGAACAAACGATCACAATTATTCTCCACCATCTGTGGCTAGTAAAGATGCTGGGAAGCTAAAGACTCCAAGGAATCCAAGGATTCCATACCACTTGCGAGACTCGAGAATGGTCGGAGACATAAGCAACTCAAGGAATTCAAAGATTTCATAGCACTTGGGACAGTCACGAATGGCCAGACAACTCCGTAATCCAATAATTCCTAGCATTTCACATCCTTGGAACTATCGAACATGGTCGGAAAGCTAAGGAATCCAAGTTTCCAAAGATTTCCAAACACTTTCAACAGTCTATATGTTGGAGAAAAGAAGGAATCCAATGATTCGAAGGATTCCCTATCTCTTGCAACAGTCAGAAATGTTGAAAAAGTTAAGGAATCCAAGGATTTCCTAGTACTTTCCGAAGATAGAAGTGGTGCGAAAGTTAAGGAATCCAAGGACTCCAACAATACCATAGCACTTGGAACAGTAAAGAACGGTGGGAAAGCTAAGAAATCTAAGAAATCTCAAAAACTTTCTGAAGTCAGAAGTTGTGGCAAAGCTAACCAACCGAAGGATTCCAAGGATGCCATAACACTTAGGATAGTGAGGAATGGTGGAAAAGCTAAGGAACCCAAGGATTTCAAGGATTGCCTAGCGCTCTGAACAGTCAAGCGTTGTCGGAAGCCAAAGAAATATCAGGATCCAAGGATTCCTTGGCAATTTAACCGATAAGGATTGGTGGTAAAGTGAAGAAATCCAAGGATCTGAAGGATTTCATCATATTTTGTTTGGTCAAACTTAATGCAAAAACTAAGGATTTTCAGAGAACCATTGAATTCGCAGATGTTGGCATGTTTCAGAAATCATCAGAAACCAGAAAAAACCAAGTTTCTTAATCACTTTAATCGTTTTTTAATGAATATGATATATGGAAATTTTTCAAGGTTTCCAAGGTTTCGCAAACCTTGCGTACAAACGGTATGGGATCGTACTGGGTTTATTCAGATATTTTGTTGATGTTGTAAGTGGATTGTGCTAGAATTTTCAAGGAATTTAAGGATTCCTTGACGTTTTCAATGGTGGAAACTGTTTTCAGAGTGATCGTGTTCAAGGGTTCGAAGGTTTCTCATACATTTCGGAAGTGGCGCTGCCAATGCAAGAAACGAAGATTTTCAGAGAACTTATAGTTTTTTGAGCGTTGGACAGTATCAGGAACATCTGAATACAAACTTTCGTAATGACTTTGATTCATTTTTAATGAACAGGATATGTTGAAATTTTTCAAGGTTTCTAAGATTTCGGATTCCTTGCATACAAATGGCGTTGGGTCTTCACTGGATTTGGTCAGATATTTTGTTCATTATTAGTAGAGTACATTTTATTATAATTTTTCAAGGATTTCTAGAATTTCGATAGGGCATCCATTTGTATATTGTCTGGAGCGTATACCATACAAAAAAACGGTTTTCTTTGGCTTTCTAATCCTTCACTTCTTGGATTCTATATTGAATTTTTATACCCGATGATTTCCCCAATCGACGACACACAGAGCTTGTCATGTCAATCGAATGACAAATCGATGGGGTCATTGAGTTGTTTCAATTTTCCTCCTCTACCGTTTCTACCAACAATGACACTTTCCTGTGTCACTCATTTGGGTCAATGTATCATTCGATCATTCCTTGTATCGATCACATAGACAACGCCCATTTAATCGACAACGACTCCTTTTGAATATGATAATTGTGTAAAATCATTTCCTTCTCCTTGACTACCAGTCATGACATTGCCTTTCTTTTACATCTTCCATCCATTTCATCATATGATCATTTCCCGAATCAGACACGTACACTGACTGATTTCGATCGACGAATACGTGTTGTGAACAAGGCAGTTGATCAAGACGACTTGGATGTGAGGGTGTTATTCTCAACACAGTGCCCGCACTCACACACTCACACCGTCAGTAGAGTAGTTTATCTATATTATTCAACAGAACAACGTGATCATCATTGAAATTGATCGATGTTCAATTGTGCGTGGAGTAGTGGGTGTGGTGATGAATCTCATCCACCATTCGGCATCCACACAAACATCCTTCAATGAACATAACTGCAGGTTGAACTTTTAATTTCCCACACCCAAGAACCTATCGTTTCTCTTGCACATATTGACATTATGGTATTGATAATCATCATTAACAAGGAAGGAATGTAATAGATAATAATGATTTGATGATATTCATAGAGTCACACTGAACTAGGTTACTATGAAGCAAGAGTTGATCTCTAACTGCATATAATACGATTGCATTCCACGAGACAATGGCTCTTAAAAAGTTCGATAAACTTGAATATTCGACGTAATAATCAATTTCATCGTTGCGATAGGTTTCATCATGACACTTGTCATTGATACAAAAAAAACGTTTTTGTGGTATGCGAGTATGAATCTAGATGCTTTTCTACTATAGTCAGATCAATACTGGCAGACAATCATTCATACTCTCAACCATACACTAAGGCTTACATCATCAGGAATCTACAACCAAACCCAAACTTAACTCATCCTCTTTCTCCACTCATCTTTCACACTTACAAACATTTGAATATTTCAACTATGATTCTATTAAATATAAGAGCATGCGAAATAAGTAAGTGATAGAGAAATATAAAGTACAAGATAAAATTATTAACAAGTCTGCAAGAGAATATTTAAACTGTCAGTACCATTATTGGCGACGGCAAAATCTAGTTTTTTATCATTATTGAAATCTCCAATGGCAATGAAGAATGGATTGGAACCGTAGTCTACCTGAACTAGCATGATGCTTTCAAAAGTGCCGTCTCCATGTCCAAGAAGTATACCTAGATAATTGGCATCATGATTCGCGACAACAATGTCCAGTATAATGTCGCTGTTAGTGTCAATAACAGCTAACGAATATCGAGACGAACTTGAGCTTGTTGAATACATCGTTTGATTTCCAAAAGAACCATTCCCGTATCCAAGAATAATACCAATACTGTTCGACTTACAACTAACAAAGACGATATCCATTCGGCTATCATTGTTGAAATCACCGGCAGCCATAGAGCATGGAGATAAATATGGGTGTGTTGAATATGTCATTTCATTTGCAAAAGAGATATTTCCATATCCAAGAAAAATATCAATATTTTGCATGCCTGAATTAACGACGCCAATATCCATCAGACCATCACTGTTGAAATCACTAATCACTAAGGACTGTGGTGCGGAACCATTTCCAGTTAAGAGCGTCATTTGCTTTACAAAAACTATATTGTCACAGCCAAGAAGAACACTTACATCATTGCTATCCCAATTGGTAACAACGATATCTAGTCGAGTGTCATTGTTGACATCACCAATAGCTACAGATCGTGGATAAGAGCCAACTGGATACCTTGTTTGATTTTCAAAAGAACCATTTCCATATCCAAGAAGGACACTCACATCATTGCTAAACCAATTGGCGACAACGATATCTAGTCGAGTGTCATTGTTGACATCACCAATAGATACAGATCGTGGATAAGTGCCAACTGAATACCTTGTTTGATTTTCAAAAGAACCGTTTCCATATCCAAGAAGGATACTCACATCATTGCTACCCATATTGGCAACAACGATATCTAATCGAGTGTCATTGTTGACATCACCAATAGATACAAAGAATGGACCAGAGCCAGCTGAATAGTTTGTTTGATTTTCAAAAGAACCGTTTCCATATCCAAGAAGAACACTCACATCATCGCTATCCCCATTGGCAACAACGATATCTAGTCGAGTGTCATTGTTGACATCACCAATAGATACAGAGAGTGGAGAAGAGCCAACTGAATACCTTGTTTGATTTTCAAAAGAACCGTTTCCATATCCAAGAAGAACATTCACATCATTGCTACCCTCATTGGCGACAACGATATCTAGTCGAGTGTCGTTGTTGACATCACCCATAGCTACAGATCGTGGATAAGAGCCAACTGAATACCTTGTTTGATTTTCAAAAGAACCATTCCCATATCCAAGAAGGACACTCACATCATTGCTATCCAAATTGGCGACAACGATATCTAGTCGAGTGTCATTGTTGACATCACCAATAGATACAGATGTTGGATAAGAGCCAACTGAATAGCTTGTTTGATTTTGAAAGCCTTCGTAACGTCCAACAAGAATATCAATGGCACCAGTATCATTGTTTACAACGACAATATCTAATCGATGGTCCTTGTTGAAATCACCTACGGCAACTGAAATCGTAGAAGAAGATCCGGTTGAATACATAATTGAATTTGCAAACTTGCCGTTCCCATATCCAAGAAGTATGGCTATATTGTCAGCGCCTTGATTCGTGGTGATTATATCCAATCGATTATCTTGATTGAAGTCTACTACCGAAATGGCAATTGGAGAAGCAGAATTGATGGAATAGTTGACTTGATTAGCGAAAGTTTCATTACCATTATTTAGGAGCACACCTACTTCATGACTTCTAAAATTAGCAATAGTGATATCGAGAAAGTTGTCTGCATTGAAATCACCAATGGCAATGGAGTATGGTTGGGAACCAATGCCAATTGAGATGGTAATTTGTTTTGCAAAAGTGCTGTTGCTATTTCCAAAAAGTATCACAATATTGTTAGTGCCATAATTTGCAATGGCGAGGTCTAAATAGTTGTCATTATTGAAATCTCCAGCAGCTATTGAGGACGGAAAAGAATCGTAACCTGTCGGATATGTAATTGGAAGCGAAAAACTTCCATTTCCATATTGATAGAGTATACTAATACTGTGGTTTCCGTAATTGATTATGGCAATATCAAGTAGTGTGTCATTGTTGAAATGAGCACCGATAATCGCTATTGGACGAGAGGAGCCTGTTGAAAGTTCTTTTTGATTTGCGAAAGACCCATCGCCAAGTCCATGAAAGATAACGATATTGTTAGTGCCAAAATTTGCTACTGCAATATCCAAGTAAGAATCGTTGTTGAAATAACCAACTGTGACCATGTAAGGACTTGAGTAGGAACCAGTTGAATATGTAATTGGACTTTTAAAAGTGCCATTACCATATCCAAGATAAACAGTTATCGTGTTAGCTATATGATGAGCAATAACCATATCCAAACATGTGTCATTGTCGAAATCCTCAACGGCAACAGATCGTGGGCCATACTTGTATTCAACTGGTTTTTGAGCCGTTGGTTTGAATTTGAGCTCACATTTTTGAACTAAACAACAGATGAAAAGCAGTGTGATGACTGATTGGTTGCTCAAGTGCGACTATCACTGTTTGATCGTATTGGATCCTTACAAGTTTTATAGTATGCTGTCAGAAATTGTCGTATTACTGTATTTGTACGCAACTCAAAATCAATCATCTTTCATTAGAATTCTACTTAGTTTCTTGAAATTCAGATAGAGCTAGATATATGCGACTATATTATGCAAGTTAATTTTCTATTTCCTTTCTTCGATTTACTCTAGAATTTATTCAAAAAGTGCGTCATCTTTGAGAACAAAGACGAACATCAACGAATACAATATGACTGAAGAGTGTAAGAGTGCGCCAAACTGCATGATTAAATGTAATCGCTTCCACATTTTATAATCTCTTTTTCTAGCATTTACTTTGCTAAAAGTTTGATATAAAAGATGAAAGTTTCATATTTTTACACGCTCAAACGGTTATCAAAATTATTGTGTTAGGTAATACTTTCAGAGGTTCTATTAGTATTTTGAATTAATGATTATATTAAGAAATAGAATATACAAATAGACAAAACTATGAGGATAGAGAAAGAGATGTAAATCTACTGGTCAAGTAATCATACACGAATAGCACAATATACAAGCGAAGAGGAAGAGATAGATGATGCACTAGATGACGATCTTCGTTGTAAATGTAGATGTCAGTGGTTCGATGATAAGAACAACGAATAGTGATCGATAATTTTTGTGTGATACATGCACAATTATTTAGTTCAACTTTTTATTTCTTACAATTACAAAACTATGACTTCGATCGCCGTATTCCATCAGAAACGCTCGTACGTGTTATTTTGAGTTTTTAATTACAGATCCTCCATGTAATCTTATTTTATCTATAGAAAGTGGCTAACATATTAATAAAAAATAACATACCAGTAGCTTTTGGTGAAGTGAAACAAACAGTCAATATACCAATACTCATTGCTATAATTGTGAATACAGCAAATGCACCTGCAGCAATTGAAGATCGATGTCGCGACCAAGGCGAAAATTCTCTAATAAAGACATTCTATACATTATTATGATTGAACACAAAAGAAAATTATATACAAACGTGTCGGAGTCATTGACCACTTCTTTGTTGTATTAGTAGCAGTGGCACATTCTGCTGAATTAAATTCATTTTGCGTTGAGTTTTCACGTTGCTCATTGTCAACATGAGGATGTTGTGCAGCAGGTGAATTCTCAACTGAGATAGCATCATCACTCGTAGAATTTTTATTCATCTATAGTAAAAAAAACAGTATGTAGTAAAAGATAGTTTTCAGTAAGTATTCATTGTTCACTAGAATACTTTTCTATAAATTACCTTTCGAGTTATCGATAATGTCCTTTCTATGCAGAAAAGTTGCAAAGTCTTGAAAAATTAGAAAATGTCTAAAATAACAGGATTAATTACATTAGTAATCATAATTTAGAACATCAAATAGTTACATATTCGTTTTCTTTTGAAAAAATTGCTTCTTTGTTGGGTATGGATAGCCTCTTAATGAATATCAAAATAATCAGGCTATGTCAAACAAAGACAACGCTTCAAAAAGTTTCGATCTTATCCAAAAGCAAAACATAGATAGGTATTAGAAACATGAACATAGAACACAGTGTGAGCCAGTACTCAATGATGTATGCTTTTACAAAAGTTCTTTTTTTGTGTCACGTTGACTCAATGTACTGAACTCTATTTGTTAATACATGTTTTTGCTTGCAACTCGTTAGTTTAAACATTTGTAAACATTCCATTGGTAACGTTTTCCTTATTGATATGTCTTGTTTGTTGATAGCTTTGGTTTCGAAATCTTTTTAGTCAGTGAAAATATACTTTATTCATTAAATGATACATTCTATTGTTGAGTATGATTTAGACGTATTTACCAATGAATTTAAATTTTTTTTTGAAACTATTTAATTATTTCTATAAGGTATTTTGTCAATTGAATCATTATCGATCGAATACTCGGAAAGGTTTTTCATTTCATTCAATCAACTATACATAACGCTAGTGATTCGACTAAGATAGTCGTGATTATGATAGGATTCAAGCTGCAGATGTGATGACTATCTAAGACCTTAATCTAGTTAGGGCATACCAAAAGTAGTGGCGATTCCATCGCAATTTCGTATAGACGGCTTGAGAAAATTTTCTTTTTATATAGACTAATAGTCAAAACAAAGCTCTACATTTCTACACTATTTGATCATTATTCATCCAATATTGTAATAATAAAATTTTTATTAGAATCGTCCAGCTACAATATGTAACAATAGCAGTAAGGGGAAAACAGCAGAGGAATATTTTTAGAAGAACTTTTGATAAAAACAAGTAACGCTCGTTCGTGTGACTCGCTGGACCCTCGACTGTATATTCGGTCCTTTAGTATTTTATATTGTTTTACAGTATTCAAAACAGCTAGTATCCAACGTGTCAAAAGAATGGATGGATGTGTGTGTTGATATTAGCGTCAATCTTGTTGTGCATAATGGTATGCGGGTCCGAATGAACATTTTTGCCACAAATATATCTAATCGAATCGATATCCCCATATTTATACTCAACAATAGTCTAAGGAACTACATTATGGCAGCGATATCCACATGCACCCAAAAAACAGATTATATTCAATTTTCTGAGAGGTCACGAAGCAAAACGCATTCACGACACTATTGTGAAACAGCGCCATACTGCTTGAAATTTCTGCTAGAAATCTATTGGCTTACCAAAACATCAGTCAACAATATTTTTTATTGGGGTATGTGCTACAAAAATACGGGTTCAATTGAACTCCTAGCTTAAAATTAATCATACTAGATCTAGTCTTCAATCGAACTGCCATACTTGAAAGAAGCTCATACTCAAAGTAACCGTCAGATTAGACAGATAATTTGAATATATCTGTATACATTTCAACATTTGAATGAGTACAGACAAGAACACATACCAGCAGAGAAATTCCCGTTTATTTCATTTATATCTACTTCTGATACCATGAATATAAAACCTGTGACTGATGTTTTCCGCCAAATGTAGTATTAAAATATTGTGCACCTGCATAAAAAGCGTTGTCACACTTTATTTCAAAATATTTGTCAGTTCTTACCAACTGCTAGTCCTTATTCAAACCCATTAGGTCTAGACTATTGATTTTTGTTTGATGAATACAAACAGCCTGAAGTGTGCCTTCAAGAGATTTCTTAGTGCACCGGCTAGTCGTTCGTCGGAAACCCTTCGAGACACTACTCATGGCTAGTCACTGTTATGTTTCATTCTATTTCTCCATAACGCCATCCTTTTTTTTATTTAGACTTCATCTAATCTTAAATTCGGCGTAATTTGACAAACTATTTGATCTGTGGCACGAGAATTCTCAATGGCAATTTCTAAACCAAAGCATCATTGTGAACTATTTCTGATTTCTTCAATTTCATTCTGTAACTGGAAAATCAGAGTTTTATTGATATTTATTATCAAGGAAATATTAGTGAGCATTCACAAAAAAATCTAGCTTTTAAACTTATTTTTCATGAGTGAAATCTGCAGAATGGTTGCAATTTGAACCATTAGTCGTTCGTTTTACATAAGTGCACTTATCCAAACAGTTTGTTTATTGTTATTTAACATAAAAGATATGACATCATTTTTATACGTCAAATTTTTATTACTTTCTTCGAGTTATCGCAACTGGAAATTTCACAAGTTGGAGATCCTCCAAAAATATACAAGGTTAAAAAATTGGTTTTTTACATGAGTTGCCTAATTCGAATTCGAATATAAATGGAGACGTCACTGCTTATGGTTACTTCGAAAATAAATGAAAAAAACGCCTTCCCTGTTGAAATAGCAAAAAGGCAAAAGAAATAATTTTATATAAATTATAAATTTATAAACGAAAAGGCACATCCATGTCGAAATAGCAAAAAAGAAAAAGAAATAATTTTATATAAATTATAAATTTATAAATGAAAAGGCACACTCATGTTGAAATAGCAAAAAAGCAAAAGAAATAATTTTATATAAATTATAAATTTATAAATGAAAAAAGACACGCTCATGTTGAAATAGCTAAAAAGCAACAGAAATCATTTTATCTGAATTATAAATTTATATATAAAAAGGCATACGCATCGTGTAACAGTAGAAAAGGAAAGTACTTATTTTGCATAACTTAATCACGTATGAGCGAAGAACACATTAAGACAAAATTTGCCACATCTAACTAACCTTATTGCTAGGCTGATATTTGGATAGATGAAAATGAAGGAAGGATTCCTCTCAGTGGAAACTAAATAGGTTTAATGTCGCCAGTGAGATGTGAAGTTCCTATTTACGATTGAAGTTCGATATCCGTGATCTAATAAAAAATCTTGTCTATGGTGGCCGCCGGAATATTGTCTTTTATTTTACAACCCAACCATCTCATATTCTATAGCTTACGATTGCAAATCACCGATGCGCATTCAGAGTTCGATAGCTAGCAGAGAAACAGTATTCGTAGGTGCAGAAACGAGTAAAACCCCACTACTCTAAGAGCTTCAATTCAGTACGTATATCCGGCACTTGCCTTACACCAGAAGAAAACATCCGGCATAATTCTCCTCAAATGAAAACAACAGCTAGCAAGATCAGCAAAAAAATTACTTCGACAGTTACTAAATAGTACACTGAGAAGACGACCAACCATTTTCAACTTATGCATCATGCAAAAACTGACCTAACTATCACAGACTATCTATGGAACATTTTAGTGGCTGTGGTGCAGTATTCATATAAGAAACACGTCTGTGCATTATCAGCCCTGTCAAAGGGCACACGCATACCTTTCTTTAAGCCTCGACACGTGGTGGACCGAAGGATCACCCGAAGAGCGCCGGGAGGCTGCTTCTGTGCCAACACAGATTAGAGACTTTCCCATTGGTACTATCAGAGGACGTACACAAATTATTTCTTTTGCGTTTTTGCTATTTCAACATGGGTGTGCCTTTGCATTTATAAATTTATAAATTTATAATTTATACAAAAATTTTTTTTTTGTTGCTTAAACGGGTGTGTATCGTTGGAGAAAGTTTTGCTTTTGCTTTTTGCCTGTCAGAACATGGAAGCCGTTTTTTTCATTTAAATTCGAACTCGATTTAGACAGCTACTCGTTTTTTATAATAATAATAATAATAAAAAACAATTTATTGACATATCCCAGTTTAAGACCCTGCCCCATCTGTGTATAGATTTCCTTAGAACATAGATATAACTACTTAGGGCATACCAAAAGTACTGGCAGTGACACTTTAATACCCTATAGTAGGCTTTAAGAAACTTTCTTTCTATATAGTCTGATAGAGAAAAAAATGCTCTATCTTTCTATACTATTTGATCGTACTTCAACTAATCTCATAGTATTAAATTATCTATAAAACCAATTTCGGCTGGCTATATGCTGGTTGTAAGTTTTGCATTGCAGTTTTCGATTTCTTACTAGTTGTATTAATAACCAAAATATACTATAAGATGCAGCGTGAAAAGCTCTACAATTTGCATACGACCACTTATTTTATAGCTGCAATTTTTGTTTTCGAAATCGACAAAATTTGGAGCAATCAAATTGTGAAGATGCGAAAAAGACAATGTTTTCGATACACAACGAATTCATTTTTGTTATTTCATTGTTTATCACCTGATATGCTTTACCAAAAGAAAAACAAAATATACCACAAGATGCAGCGTGAAAAGCTCTACAATCTATAGAGTAAAGCTTATTGTAATTGTTTTCAAAAAAAGGAAAATTCTATGCGACCAATTTTCTCAATACCAAAAGTTTGATCCCTCAAAACTTTATCGATTTTGAAAGCAAAAAGTGCAGCTATAAAATAAATGGCCTTATGTAAATTGTAGAGCTTTTCACGCTGCATCTTATGGTATATTTTGGCTGTTCATACAATGTCTTGAGGGATTGAAAACTAGTCTGTTCTCACACGTTGTAATCTAGTACAACCAGCACATAATCAGCCGAAATAGGTTTTATGGATAATTTAATATTATGAGATTAGCTGAAGTACGATCACATAGTATAGAAAGATAGAGCATTTTTTTCTCTATCAGACTATATAGAAAGAAAGTTTCTTAAAGTCTACTATAGGGTATTAAAGTGTCACTGCCAGTACTTTTGCTATGCCCTAAGTATATGAAAGAAGTGGGAGAAATACGCTTTCAACATCAGTTCTATTGGAAAATTGTTAG